ATGGTTCAAGTCCTGGACTTGGTGGCTTGCTTTCTCACCTTCTCTCTCTCTCTTGGTCTGTGTGTGTCTCTCTGGTCAAATTAAAAAAAAAAAAAAGAATGAATAAATTAAGTTAAATAAATCATGTTTAAAAAAAAGAAAAAAGTAAAAGAAAATAGATTAACTTACCTCTGAGGGCCATGCATTTTCTTTTCTCTTTAAGCTATTTAATTTTTTTATTATTATTATTTTATTTTCTACAGGGCATATGTGCTCACCAGAGAGAGACAGGGCCAGGGAGTAGAAGGGGGACTGAGAAAGCAAGCCATCAGGTCTGGGACTTGAACCACGGTTGGCCATATGGGAGTTCAGTGCCTTACCACCACCTGCTAGCTCCAACATTCATTCTCAATAAAAACAAAACCGACCTTTGGGATCATTAGTAAACTCATTATTATGAATGTATAAGACTCAAAGCAATTCTTAACTGCCCCGTGTGCTGGTCCTCAGGAAAATATTTGCCAAGATGAAATGAAATGTTCAAGGATTTTATTAGGGAAATGCTTACAGGTAAAGGAAAACAAGAAGGGAGCCTGAGAAGGCTGGTAGAGCCATTTGGCACTGATGCAAATCTGACCCCATGAAAGAAAAAGGAAGAGGATGGAGAGCCACAGGCTCAGCTGACTTACAATTTAGGAAGGTTCAGCAAGGCCCTTTGGGGACAGTCTTTAATCAGCTGACAAGGTCCCTATGCTGACACAGGACTCCTACTTCTCCAGCAAAGGGGCTGCCTGCATATCTCAGCTGTCCCTAGTCAGTGGCAGGACTCAGCCCTTGGGAACTGTGACCTTAGCCTGGGTGCAAATTGAGGGAATCAATTTCTAAGCAACAGCTGGGGCTCTGCTTGGATTATATTAAGCGAGTAAGTGAACAGTATGTTGTCATGCCTGCCGCACTCACAGCAGAAAAATGCAATGTATTCCACTTGGCTGGTTTACAGGTTCGACCTACACTCCACATACCTCATCTAGAGTTCCAAGGCCAATTCCCTATCTTCCCTCACTGCAAGTCTTCAGTAGCAATGAACACCTAGAATCACCCCAGGTGTCCAGACCATAGAGGGGTGATATCTCGCTTTCTGTCTCTCTGTCTGGCGAGCGCACGCGCCCTATAGCAAAAACCTCTCCAAAAAAAAGTTATTTTATTTCACTTTATTTATTTATTTATTTATTTATTTAAATTTGACCAGAGAGGGACAGAGTGAGACAGAGAGAGGGAAAGTGAAAAAGCAAGCTGCCAGGTCTAGGACTCTACTGCGGTCAGTCACGCGGGAGTCCAGCGCCCCCAACCACCTGCTGGCCCTAACTTATTTATTTATTTAAATTATTATTTATACATTTAATCACTATACATCATTTAGATTGTAAAGAGACTACCCAGCATGATATACACCTCAGTCCAGCCCAGCTGAGAATACTATACACGTCCTCATCAACAAATAAAAAAACATATCTGTGTCCCACAAATGTCTTACCTCTCTATTTTTCCCCCAAATTGCCTTTCCTACACTCTGCCCCTCCCACTCTCTTTCCACTCTGTCTCTAGTGTCCATAACAATTTTTAATGCTTGTATGTCCTCCAGTCTTTCAGTCTCTACCAGAGTCCACAGTCAGTATTTGTTAAATGAAGACATACAATGTTTCTCTTTCTTAAGCTGACTTGCTTGCTTCACTCAGCAACAATTCTTCCATCTTTGTCTACTTTCTATCAAATTCCAGGGCCTTGTTTTTATGGCTGAGTAGAATTCCGAGTGTATGTGCCGTGTATGTGCGGGCTTTTTCAATCCATTCATTTGTGGACATTTGTGTCTTAGCAATTGCAAATAAGGTTGCAATGAATACAGATGTGTAAGTGCTTTTCCAACCAAATGTACTCCTGTCCTTTGGGTAGATACCCAGGAGTGGAACTGCTGGATCATATGGTAGTTCTATTTGAAGGTCTTTGAGGACTTTCCATATTGTTCTCCACAGTAGCTGGACCAATTTACAGGTCCAAACTTTCTTCCTAGGAGCTTCTCCATCTTTTATCATCTCAGACACAGAGACAGAAAGTGAGAAATCACCCCAGGGGGATGATCACACTGCATTCTTTTTCCTCCATTCTCCTCTCAGGATCTTGGGCATGTATATCCACGTGCCCAGAGTGAGTTTTAAGCTGCCGGATCCAGGGTTTGAACTGCAGTTGACTGCATGGGAGTCCAGCGACATAACCATTACACCATCTGCTGTTCCTAGGCATACATTCTAAACAAAGCCTCTTTTATTAGGTTCCATCTCTATCTGGAAAAAAAAATCTTAATTCAACAGTCAGGAATTACGCAATATCACTAAAAAAGAAATTTTTTTTTGCATCCAGGAAAGGAATTATTTTCACTTTTTATTTAAATCGTATATTTTTTAAGTTCACATGAGGCAAAATTCAAATGGACAAAATGATAGAGAAGATAAAACCTTCTTCTAACCCTGTCTCATAACCAGCCAGTTCCTGTCCTGTAAGGAACAAAGTTGCCATTTTATTTTGTATCTTTCCCAATTCTTTATCCCCCCCCCCGCCCCGCCCCCACACACTTGGAAAACACAGGAGGAGAAGGAAGAGAGAGAGAGGTATTTTTTGACCCTGTCTTGCCTTTGAGAGCTGCTGCCTCACCCTTCCCATTAGCTAAGATTATAGACACCCACCAGCAGTAAAGGCCTGTCCAGGTTGTCCAGGATTTGAGTCTGCAACAGTGGCACCCTATCACTTAGCAGCGGGGCCTCCAAATGCATTTTATACATATACAAACAAATATGAGTATATTTCCTCATATTCTTACATATATAATTGACTACATAAACTGCTCACAGCTACACAGTATTGAATTGTATGAATATTTTGCTGAATCACTCTATTAATGGACATGAAAGGCTGTTCTTAACATAATCTGCAAACTGCAGCAGTGAACAACTTTGTACATTTTACATGTGCAGTATAAATGAAGGATAAGTACATGTACGCATACATGAAGGATAAGTTTATAGAAGATATCTGCATTATAATTTTGATAATAATAATTTTGATGAATAGTTCCAAAATGTCCCCCACAGAACTTACCCTGATCTTGTCCTTCCATCCAGCGAAGGTCAGGGCCAATTTTACATCAGGAAGATAGGATATGGGAGATAGACACACTATGAAATGTTAGAATGCAGTGGGGACCAGCAGGTGGCGTGGTGGTTAAGGTGCTGGACACTCCCACATGGCTGACCGCAGTTCGAGTACCAGACCTGGTGGCTTGCTTTCTCACTTTCCCTCTCTCTCTCTGTGTATCTCTCTCTGGTCAAATTAAAATAAATGAATGGATAAATAAAATTAAATAAATAATTATTTTAAAAAAAGAAAAGAAATGTTAGAATGCAGCTCAGTTGGCTATGGTTTTATATCCTTAAGTATTGAAGTCCCATAAACAGCAGATGGCCTATGTTTACATCCCTGGACTCCCATGTAGTTGACTGTGGTTTGAGTCCCAGGCCTGTAGGCTTAAAATTCACACCAGGCATGTGCGTCGGAGAGCCCAAAATCCCGAGAGAAGAATGGAGAAGGGCTTGTGGCCATCCCACCTGGGGGTGATTTCTAGCGTTCTGTTTCTGTCGCTCAGGCAACTATACTACTCTATAACAAAAAGTACTATTAAAAAAAAAAATCAAAGGCCCAGGGACAACAGGTGGGGGGTAGTTAAAGACCTGGACTACCACATGGACGATTGCTGTTCAAGTCCTTGACCTGGTGGCTTGCTTTCTCTCACTCTGGTCAAACTGAAAAATGGTAATAAAGGGACCAGCGGTGGAGTAATGGCTATGTCGCTGGACTCCCATGTAGTCGACCACAGTTCCAAGTCTTGGACCCAGTGGCTTAAACTCATGATCCAGAGAGAATGGAGAAGGGATTGTGATGTGGCTATCCCCCCAGGCGGGTGATTTCTTGCTTTCTGTCTCTCTGTGTCTTCCTGGTGAGTGCACGCACCCTATAGCAAAAACCTCTCAAAAAAATGGTAATAACTATTTTTTTTTTAAAAAAATAAAGTCCCCACGGAGGAAAACAATATAATGAGATATAGACACAATTAGTTTGGACATTCATACAAGCTGAACCAAGAAATTCCTGTCCCTTCTCAGCCAGTAAGATAAGTGCGCTAAGATTTAGTACCAGCAAAATTTATTTAACTCTCAGCACCCATGACCTAGTGGAAAATGAGCGGAAGACGGCGAGTTTCTCTGGGAATCTTTTGTAATTTCTCGCGGTGTGCGGTTTCTAGCGGCCGCAGTTCCTTCCACCTGTTACAGAGTGAAGGAAGTGGTCACCCGAGCGGTGAGCGGTGATGCTAAGCACATTATGATGCAGAGAATGCTGCGGTCTGTGGATCCCGGGGCTCTGAAGGTTCTCGCCACAGCGATGGCCCGAAAGGTCACTGTGGTCAAGGGAT